GCAACTCACGGGGCCCAGCCTTCGGCTCGAAATGCTTTGCCCGGCGTCCCGCCGCCACTCCCCGCCAACCACCAGCGCCCAGACATGCCACGGGCGATGGTCACGGATTTGATGACGAGGCTGGTGAGGATATTGCAGGCAATGATGCTGATGGTGAGGATGATGACCATGATGATGATGATGATGATGATGATGATGATGATGATGATGATGATGATGATGATGATGATGATGATGATGATGATGATGATGATGATGATGATGATGATGATGATGATGAGGATGATGATGATGATTATGATGATGATGAGGAGGAGGAGGAGGAGGAGGAGGATTAGGAGGAGGAGGATGACGATGATGACGACTCACTTCTCGATGTCCACCTCGCCGTCAGTCGCCTGCTGGCCGACCACTGGCCCCTGCTCACGCTCCGTGCTCGCGGCGCGGCGGCGGACCACGTAGTGCCACAAGGCTGCGCCGACGACGAGCACTATCAGCGACAGTGCCACGCAGGAGACGATCATCGCGATGCGCGCCTCGGGCAGTTCCTGCGTCGAGCCGCCCGTCGGTGCTGCGGCGCCCCAGGACAGCTCGACGGTGGCCACCACGGCCGCGTGGTCGGAGCTGCTGAAGGTCCCCACGGTGCTGCTCTGGCCCGCGGCCCAGCCGACCCGCGCGGAGTTGCGCAGGAACACGTGATCAACGGTGCCTCCCCATCTTGAGGTGGCGCCGTCCTAGGGAAACCACGAGATACCGATACCGCCACTCCACTGACCCCTCCCGGGGTGCGCTCTGACCAGAACTTCGACGCGACTCCAGCCGTGGCGACGAAGGCCTCCCGGGAGGCCTGAGGGGGAGGAGGCGAGGCGAGCGCGGCGGTACCGGTACCTTTTCCTCCGCTGGCGTCCGCGGGCACCCTGTACATTCCCCCGCGCAGAAACTCGTCGACGCCTCCGGTCTGGAAGCCGATGTACTCGTCGACGTCCCCGGCGCTCTGTGCCTCCACGAACGGGCTGTACGATCCCTGACTCTCCGCGACCTGCGCGGCGGGCACGAAATCCACGAACGGGCGCGTCGGCGGGCACGAAATCCACGTAAGCGGCGCAGCGCGGGTTCGGCGACGTGTCGGAGAGGCTCTGGCTGAAGCTGCGGACCACCCTGATGGTGCTCTCGCGGACGTACACCGCGTTCTGCAGATAGCGGCCGCCCAAGGCGTAGGCACTCATCGTGTCCCACAGCGGCTCCGCCCGGCAGGCGCCAGCCTTCCGGTAGCCCTCCAGGCTGATGCCATTGCTGCTGTGCTGCGGCTCGAACTCGACGTCCTCCTGCGTCAGGACGACGTCGGCGTTGAAGCCGAGGATCTGCTGGCTCAGCTGCTCGGCGGAGGCCCAATCGATGCTGGCCACGTTCCACGTGGCCACCGTCACAGCCGTGCCCCATGGCTGTGCCGCAAGAGCAGCGAGGATCGCGCAGGGCAGGGCGCTGCAAGGGAAGGCCATCTGGCGCGCAGATATCTCTGTGACTGGCTGTTGTCTCTGGACCTTGTCTTCGATGCTTCGTCGACTCGGCCAAAACTGGTGCGGAGGGGAGGAGGCGGGGTTTGCCGGCCGGCTGGACCCTTTCGAATCAAGAGTGAGTCCGCGGGCACGGCCTCTTTGGCAGGACCCTCCACCTCCATCTTCCAAACCTTCCGACCTCTGCGGAAGGCGTCGAAGGTGATGCATTGAAGCTATTGAGAAGCGCAAGAAAACGCAGCACCTCACGAGGCGCAAGAGTGTGGAAGGCCAGCACGGAGGGTCTGGAAGAATGAGGGCGAGGGCGGGGGCAGCAGGAGGGGGAGGAACCGGCTCAGGGGGCGCATCGACGCCCGACACATACACACACATATATATATATATATACATATATAGATATGTATATATGTGTATATATATATATATATATGTATCGCCCCCCTTCCTCGCCGACGGGGACCTTCTGATGCCCTGCCCCGCCCAGAGGAGGAGGAGGAGGAGGAGGAGGAGGAGGAGGAGGAGAGGAGGAAGAGGAGGAGCGAGGAGGAGTAGGAGGGGAGGGAGGAGAGAGGAGGAGGAGGAGGAGGAGGAGGAGGAGGAGGAGATGGCGAGGAGCTGAAGGAGGAGAGGAGGAGGAGGAGGAGGAGGAGGAAGGAGGGGAAAGGATGAGTGAGGAGGAGGAGGAGGTGGGAGGGGGAGGGGACTAACGAGGGGACCGACGGGCGGAGGACGACGCCGCGAGGCCACAGCCCTTTGGCCGCCCGCGCGCGCCTACGGCCCGGGGAGGGCCGCGAGGAGCTCCCCCTATAGGGCCCTCCCACGGCGGGCAGCGGCGCGGCGGCCCGCGGAGGCGGCACCCCGGCCAGGGGCCGCCCGCGGGGCCGGCGGCGCCCCAGCCAGAACATCGAGGGGGGGGGGGGGGGCCAGGACCGCGGAGGGAGAGGGGGGAGGAGGAGGAGGAGGAGGAGGAAGTAGGGAGGAGGGGGAGGAGGAGGGGAGGAGGAGGAGGAGGAGGAGGAGGGAGGAAGGAGGCGGAGGAGATTAGGATGAGGAGGAGGGTGGAGGGGGAGGGGGAGGAGGAGGAGGCGGAGGAGGGGAGGATGGGAGGAGGAGGAGGAGGATGGGAGGGGTAGGACTACCAGGAGGAAGTGTATGAGGGAGGATTATTTCGAGGATTCGTACACGTTGATGTAGTAGTGCGGAGGCGGCGGAACTCCGAGAGGATGTGTTTATGTAAGGCTGGTTCGTGTCGAGCATAGAGGATGCTGATGTAGTCAGGTAAGAGGGTCGACGTTTAGGATGAGGATGCGTTGTGCGTATGGCTTAGGAGGATGGTTGGAGGAGTGGAGAGGGAGGAGGTAGAGGGATTAGGGAGAGTGGGCACCCAGATATATCGCGCAGAAGAATGCCCACGCCTAGCAGGAATCCCCCCACCACGTGTTCCCCACAGATTCTGGGTCTGGGTCTTCCCCCCCTCCCACATGTTCCTAGATTTCCTCGGGAATCGCACAGATAACAGGATCCCCCACACGTTCCCCACGTGTTCTGGGTCTTGGTCTTCCCTCCCCCACCTCCAATGGTTTCCTAGATGTCCTCGGTGTGGGCCCACGGGCCGGCTGCCCCAGCAAGAAAATCGAGGGGCCCGAGGACACACAAACAAATGCGCACAGATAACAGGATCCCCCACATGTTCTGCGTTTTGGTCTCCCCCCCCAACTCCCATATGTTCCTAGATGTCCGTGGGAATCTACGATGAATGGTGTCTGTGTGTGTTTTTGCCCCCGCCTGAGAAAAGAGAACTCCCGAGCCCCTCAAGACAGCCTCCAAAGGCGCCACGCGGGCCAGGAGCGCCGGCCCAACGGGCCAGAGGCGTGCTAAGATCTCTGGCAACTGGTTAACAATATTTCTAGTTCGCGCGCGCGGAGCGGCCCCTGGGGGCCCCCGGACGAAAAGTACCCTGGCAGGGTCCCGGGAGAAGCCACCAGAGCACTCCAGGGGAGGGCCATTTTTCGACAGCCCTCACGAGGATCGTGGCCTCCGAGGGGGGAGCCGCAATCGACTACCCCACCTCCCGCCCCAAGAGGCCCCCAAAAGCCCCTCAAGAGGCCATGGGGGCCCCCAAGACGCCGCCAAGGAGCCCCAAGAGACTCCCAAGAGGTCCCCAAGGGGCCCCCAAGAGGCCCTAAAGAGGGCTCCAGGGATGGCGGAATGAGCGAAGCGATCAAATAAATACGCACAAATAACAGGATTCCCATATTTTCCCATATGTTATGGGTTTTGTCTTCCCCCCATTTCCCATATGTTCCTAGATTTCCTTGGGAATCGACGATGACTTGTGTCTGTGTGTTCATCCCTCCTTTTTTTTTGAATTATCCCGGCAAAGCAACCTAACAGCGATGTGTAGAAGCATACCTGGAAGCATTCCCCTTAAGATTTAGGTGAGAATCCAGTTGTAGAATTCTGCTGTTCTCGCGGTCGCAGCCTCAGCCTGCCTCGGCTTGCCTCGGCCTCAGCCTCAGCCTGCCTCGGCCTCAGCCTCAGCCTCAGCCTGCATCAACCTCAGCCTCAGCCTGCCTCAGCCTCAGCCTGCCTCAGCCTCAGCCTCAGCCTGCCTCAGCCGCAGCCTGCCTCAGCCTCAGCCACAGCCTCAGCCTCAGCCTGCCTCAGCTTCAGCCTCAGCCTCAGCCTGCCTCGGCTTGCCTCGGCCTCAGCCTCAGCCTGCCTCGGCCTCAGCCTCCAGCCTGCCTCAGCCTCTGCTCAGCCGCCTCAGCTCAGCCTGCATCAGCCTAGCTCAGCCTAGCTCAGCCTGCCTCACAGCCTCAGCCGCAGTTGCCTCAGCCTCAGCCACAGCCTCAGCCTCAGGACTTCTCAGCTCAGCCTCAGCCTCAGCCTGACTCGCTTGTCTCAGCCTCAGCCTGCCTCGGCCTCAGCCTCAGCCTCAGCCTGCCTCAGCCTCAGCGTCAGCCTCTCAGCCTCAGCCTGCATCAGCCTCAGCCTCAGCCTGCCTCAGCCTCAGCCTCAGCCTCAGCCGCAGTTTGCCTCAGCCTCAGGCACAGCCTCAGCCTCAGCCTGCCTCAGCTTCAGCCTCAGGCTCAGCCTGCGCGGGGTCGCCTCGGCCTCAGCCTCAGCCTGCCTCGGCCTCAGCCTCAGCCTCAGCCTGCCTCAGCCTCAGCCTGCCTCAGCCTCAGCCTGCATCACGCCCGCATGGCCGTCATGCGAGCTAACGTGCCCACGGGCAATTCACGATTTTGATTGAGATGCGAGAACCTGAATGTGGGGGCCCCTCTGGCCAGGGCGTCTCGGAGTGAAAGGCGAGGGCGTATCGAGCGAGAACCGTTGCGGTCGTAGATGGGCCGGCACCAGCTTGACTTAATTGCGAGGACGGTTCGAGCGAAACACTCACAGCCTGACACGCTCAGGCACAGACACTCACAGGCAGACATTCACAACGGGACGCGCCAGAAAATGAGATGCACCTATGGGGATCTCCGAGTCGAGTGTTTTTTTTGATGGATGACCTCCGAATCGAATGCCAGAGGGTGTCAATTACGTATGATGATGGTGGTGGTGCCGAACTACAGCCATGTTAGCCCTTGCAGGTTGGACGCCTGGTGAAAAATGAACACAAATCTCTGGCCACCCTTTCCACTTTCGCTCGGGATGTGCCGCTCCAGAGTCCGATCGCGGACGAAGGCCAATCCACCAATTGCAAGCCGCTCCACCGAGCCCGCTGCGCACCGTCTGCGGTCTGTCAGCTGGCTGGCAGTCCGCGGCGCCGTCTGTCGGCTCGAGGAGAAGCAGGGTAGGTGGCTAAAAAAAGGCGGGCTCAACTATGTGGATCAGGCAAATGTCAGTATTCGGCGCCACTGCTGGCACCGGCAGGAGCAGCCGGCCCAGCCTTCGGCTCGAAATGCTTTGCCAGGCGTCCCGCCGCCACTCCCCGCCAACCACCAGCGCCCAGACATGCCACGGGTGCACACGGGCTCACGACTCACTTCTCGATGTCCACCTCGCCGTCAGTCGCCTGCTGGCCGACCACTGGCCCCTGCTCACGCTCCGTGCTCGCGGCGCGGCGGCGGACCACGTAGTGCCACAAGGCTGCGCCGACGACGAGCACTATCAGCGACAGTGCCACGCAGGAGACGATCATCGCGATGCGCGCCTCGGGCAGTTCCTGCGTCGAGCCGCCCGTCGGTGCTGCGGCGCCCCAGGACAGCTCGACGGTGGCCACCACGGCCGCGTGGTCGGAGCTGCTGAAGGTCCCCACGGTGCTGCTCTGGCCCGCGGCCCAGCCGACCCGCGCGGAGTTGCGCAGGAACACGTGATCAACGGTGCCTCCCCATCTTGAAGTGGCGCCGTCCTAGGGAAACCACGAGATACCCATACCGCTACTCCACTGACCTCTCCCGGGGTGCGCTCTGACCAGAACTTCGACACGAATCCAGCCGTGGCGACAAAGGCCTCCCGGGAGGCCTGAGAGGGAGGAAGCGAGGCAAGCGCGGCGGTACCGGTACCTTTTCCTACGCTGGCGTCCGCGGGCACCCTGTACATTCCCCCGCGCAGAAACTCATCGACGCCTCCGGTCTGGAAGCCGATGTACTCGTCGACGTCC